AAGTACACTGCTGAGGGGAGCAGCGGGCGGGTCAGGAGAGGTGTGCCACACCATGTGGTCACCTCGGGGGCAGGTGGGAATCGAACTCATGCAGAAGTGGCTTTAGATTCTCAGTGCTGTGCTTTAACCCACTGCGCCACCAGGGAGGGCCAAATAAATAAATCTTTAATAAAATAAAATTGACACTTTCATCTATCATATTTTCTGCAACTATTTCCCCAGTTTGTCTTTTTATTTTTTAATAAATATGAAATATGTTCATAGAGTAAGATATGTTGGTCATTCTTTTGTCATTTCTTTATTCTCCTAAATCCAGCAAATCTTCCTCTAGATGCTTTATGTTTATATTATTTCATTCTTTTAAGAATTTGGTTTCTATTTTAGAGGTATTTAGCTCCTTTAGTATTCCAGCTGGAAAGAGAGAGAGAGAAGGAGGTGTCAGGTCTGACTCAAAATAGAATTTTCCCCAAATTACCAGTCATGAATTCTACTGCTGTCCAGTGAAGATCCTCATCACATTGTCCTCTGATACCAGATTTTTTAAAAGTATTTTAAATTCTCTTATAAATCATAGTATCTGTGAAACCTTCCTAGTCTTCCACCGATGTCACAGTTTTAATTACTGTTATTTTTAAAATGTGTTCTCATTTATGCTTAGAAATGATAAACATTCATACTAATCCTTTCTGATAGGCCTAAAAATGGGGTCAAGCTTGCCCTCAGAGGACATGCAGAAATGAGAGCAGGCCCTTGATTAACACCCACTCACTCAACATTCACTTGTAATGTTGATGAGAGAAAGAAAATCCCAGCAGACATTGAACAGAAGGGCATTACAAACATGACTCTGGACCTGCTGGTGTTACTGTCTTTTCACATAAAAGTCTCACCTTCCAAGAACCTATCAACAGTGTTAAGTGAGGACTCACAATAGTCTGCTAAATCTCATTTTCACTTTGGAAGACTTCCAGAGTGTCGAAGTAGTATCTTTGAGTAGACAGTGCCTTGGTAGATATGTGGGTAGAAAAAGGAATTTGTGCACCACTGAGAACCAAATCAGGAAAAGCAGATTAGGGGTTCCCCAAATGGGTTCCTTGCAAGACTGGTATGTTAGAGGGCAGCAAAGATGTCAAAGCAGAGAAGCCAGATGCAGGAGGGTTTAAAGAACAGTGTGCTTACTTCCTAACTTGCATAGGCTACATCTGAAGAGGGGAGCACTGTGAAGGCCAAGGCCGTTTGGGAGGCTGTAAAACTTCTGAGCTTGGAATTGGGAGCCTACGTTTACTATCTACACTGCTGTGTGACCTTAGGGAATTTCCATGTTACTTTAGCTCCCTCCCTGGTGATGATGGAACTAATGGTGTTTGTGGTGTCTACTTCATGGAGTTTTGAAAATAAAAATAGGTAATACATGTGAAGTTCTTTGACATTTTAAAACTGCAAATATAGGGGCTTATAGGGAATTATTATAATTATTAGTCACCAAAATATTAGGATTTTCTATTTTTGTTCAGGGAATTTTTGTCATTTCTGTTATTTATTTTTACTTAAAACATTTATAATAATGGTAACAGCTAATACAATATACCAAACTCATTTGCATCTATTAGCTTCTCAACAACACTCTTTGGTTGTCATCACTAATCAATTCCTGTAAGTACTGTTATTATCCTGAACCCCACTTTACAAAGGAGGAACCCAAGTGTCGGTGAAATGGAATCAGTTGCCCCAAATCTCACAGCTCTTAAGAGCTAGGACTTGAACCCAGGAAGTCTAGATCCAGAGTCTGTGACACTGATATTTTTTTCACAACATGTAAATATATATATATTGGTTTTGTAAAAAGTACTTTGCTTTCTTTCAGCTGTTTTCAGCTAAAGTGATGAGTGATCCTTTTCTCGTGCGGGAGATAGGCCTGCGTGCACTCAAGTCTGCAGCGGACAATGGGCAGACCCAAGGCCAAGATTCCCACGCGCTGCTCCTGGAGACATTTTCCAAGCTTCTGGAGCTCTTGACCCTCCGCCACCGGCTGATTGAAATGAGTCTGGAGAGCGTCTACTTAGCACGGTCCGTAGCAGGGCTGAGGATCCAGAGGGGAGATAACAGACTGTGGGTCTACTGTCCAGAAGCCTCATGCCTCTGTGCCCTTAGTGAAGTGAGAATATCCTACATGGCTAACATGGTCACCTCGCTCCCCTCACCTCTCCCAGCCTCCCATGAGCCTCCCTGAACACTCGGCGAACCTACATTCTCCTCCCAGAACCGGGCTTTGTGTTCATTCAGCACATTCCCTTTTAACTAGATGCTTAATATTGGCTTACTGGCTTCTCGTCATGTGAGCTCTCTGTCCGCCTACAGACCAAGTTAAGCCATCACCTAGTGTGGGCACTCAGGGGATATTGATTTGATTCACACTGGAATAGAATAGAGTTGAATAGCAGAGTAGAAGCAGCAGAGGACCTAGAAAAAGGAGAATGAGTGACAGCATCCACATCTGGCAGAAGTAGGGAAGTTTCAGCATGGTAACAACACGCTTATGTACTTGGGAACGGATGGGAGATGACAGTGGCACATCTAAGCAGACACATAACACCAGCAGGAACATTATAGCTGGGGTGGAGGTGGGGTCTTGCTGCAAATGCGCATGACCGCTGATGTGTTCTAGTGTCTGCGTGAGGCCATACAGCACAAAGATTCGGCCATCCGCTAGCCACCATTACCCAGGGCCTGCTGTGGCCTGGGTGAGTACTCAGGACTTGATGTATATTAGTTCATTTCATTTTCAAGCTACCCTTTTGAGGACGCTAACAAATATTTTACTAGTGAGGCAGAGGCTCAGAAAAGTTGTTTGCCTAAGATCACAGAACTGCAGAGTAGTAAAAGCAGGACTCAAACCATGAGTCACAGCAGTGGTCACATTTGTGATCCCCATCTCCATAATTTCTGATCCAAGCCCTCAAGCCCTAACCCCTAGTCCCTAGACTGAGATTATTGGAATACAGGATCTTTACAGGGGTAGTTCAGTTAAAATGAAGTTATTAGGGTGAGCCCTAATCCAATCTGACTGGCATACTTATAAGAGGAGAAAATTTGTAAGACACACAGAAGGAGGACAGAGTGAGGAAAGGAGAAGCTGACCTGTAAGGCACAGAGAAGGACTAGAATAGGTCCTTGCCACGCAGACTCAAAAGAAACCAAGCCTGCCTCCACTTTCACCTCAGACTTGCATTCTCCAGAACCAGGAGATAAACATCCGTTCTTTAAGCCACCCAATAGGTTGTCAGTACTTTGTTACAGCAGTCTGGCAAACTAAGATAGATGCTATTTAAGTTCAGTCTTACTATACTGACTTCTCAAGATGGAGAATTGAGTTAAGGTGGGGTAAGGGAGGAAGAGAAGTCATCTGGCCATCTGACACGAGGCTGACCTGCCAGCAAGACAGCTGTATGAGCCCAGCTGCCTGTCCTCGAAACAAGGGGTAGACCTGAGCGTTGAGGCAGGACAGAGATGGGGCCACAGGTTCTCATAAAAGGGAACAGTCATTAGCACTTGGGGTCAGCAACAGGCTTCTTGAAAAAGGGACGGAGAAAATGAGAAAAGGACCAGGTTTGGAACCCAGACAACAACAGCATTTGAAAATAAAGAGGAAAAGCTGATGAAAATGGAGAGTGCCATGAGGCAGGAGCATGGAGATCCAGGAGGACAAAGATGTTCCTCAAGGGGGCGACAAAAATGTCGCTTTGAAGAGCTCTGAGCGCAGATGGGAGTTGGAGGTAGTTGACTTTTCCAGAGGGTTCTGAGGGCAGAGTCAGCTTGCGGGAAATGAGAGGTGAACAGGTGTTCAAGCATGCCTCCTCCTATTTGAACTCTGTCTTTAACCAGCACAGGCTTACGACTGTGGTGAGGCATTCACCTCAAACTGGACTTGCCTTACTTTAGTTTTGATTGTTGTTCTGGTTTTTCTTACCACCTACTTTCCTTTTAGGGGAAATTATAGTAAATATTCTTGACTCTTTTATTATTATTATTATTATTATTATTATTATTATTATTATCATCATCATCATCTTCCTTTTAGCCTCTATAAGGAATTGGCATGGGAGATGGGTTTTGAAGAATTCCATTTGTATCTGAGGTCTGTTCCCTTTGAATTTGCATCATACAAGGATAAGATGGACTGTTCACCTCCTGTCTTTATAACCTCTCTGCTGGAGGACAGTGATCGTGTGGACAGGTGAGCTTTGAGAGGGTAAAGGTAAAAATAAGATGGCAGTAGATTTAATGACCAGCGAAAAGTGAGAAATAATTATCACCACTGAACACATATTTTAAAATTCTTTTCTTATATTCTACATGTTACGGCTTCAGTCTTTTTTTAATAAGGGGGGGATTAAAATCTCAATCTAGGCCCTCTCTGGTGGCGCAGCCAGCGGGTTAAAGCACAGCACTAAGAAGCTAAAGCCACTTCAGCATGAGTTCGATTCCCACCTGCCCTGGAGGTCACCACATGGCACGGCAGACCTCTCCTGACCCCTCTCCTCAGCAATGTACTTTGTCAATCTGCCTGTTCTGCTCCCTGCTCTGTCTCTGGTGAATCCTCTCATCCTCCACATCTCTGGCCTGTACCCCAGTTCTGAATAAATAAATAAATCTTTAAAAAAAAATCTCAATCTAAAAAAAATCTCAATGTAGGGGATAACTAGATATAAAACACCATGTAGGGCCCTCCCGTTTGGCACAACGAGTTAGAAAGCAGCACTGCAAGCTGGCCACAGCCTCTTTGGTGAGAGTTCGATCCTCAGCCCAGGAGGTGACCCATATGTCACGGCAGACCTCTCCTGACCCACCCGCTGCTCCCCTCAGCAGTGTATTTCATTGATCTACCTGTTCTGCTCCCCACTCTGTCTCTGGTGAAGCCTCTCACCGCCGCTGCACCTGTGGCCTGTATCCCAGTTCTGTATGCATAAAAATAAATCTTTAAAACAAACAAACAAACAAACAAACAAAAAACCATGTAACAGAAATGGAAGAATCAGCTCAGAAGATCAGAGAGCTCAAATGAGGTGGGATCACCAGGTTCAGGAGTTGCCCTGGTTGACCATGTTGTTCCAGGACAGAAAAGGTGTATAAATCTAACATGTATGGCAAGATCTCTGCCAGGTCCTTTTCTTGGCCAGTTTCAGAAGCTGATGCAAACCAGTGAAAACTCTTTATCATGCCCCAAAGATCCAATCCATTTCCTGAAAGAAATTCTCTTACTAGAAGCAGATCATGAATTACTCAGCTGGGGAAAGGAATCTTGTTTTCCCCATCAGTCAGCTTTTGATATGTGCCTTCTCTGCCAATCTGCCTCCACTGCCGATGGGTCCTAGCCCTGTTCCTGGAGATTCCTGGTGCTGGCTCCTTCCCAAGGAAAATAATAACCACTCCAAGGAGGAAAATCACCTTTCACTTCCTAATTTGGGCTGCTCAAAATAAAATTTTGAGGTTTTTTTTTTTAAAGATTTATTTATTTATGCTTACAGGAGTATAGGCCAGAGGTGTGGTGGGTAAGAGGATTCAACAGACACAGAGTGGGGAGCAGCACAGGCAGATTGACAAAGTACACTGCTGAGGGGAGCAGTGGGTGGGTCAGGAGAGGGCTGCTGCCGTGCCATGTGGGTCACCTCCAGGGTTGGGGATCAAACTCATGCTGCAGTGGCTTCAGAGAGCTTTGTAATGTGGTGCTTTAACCTGTTGCATCACCAGAGATAGCCCCATAATTTTGAGTTAAAGGTCTTCTCTCCCTAGAAAAATCATGGGCTGAAATGGAGGGGGCGAGGGTGATAGGATACAATATCCCAGGTTTTCTCAGCCATAATGCCATTGAACGTTGGAGTTGGAGAACTGCATCTTGGAGGGCCCTGTCCTGTACTTCAGACAGGGCTCAGCAGCTTCCCTGATCTCTAGCTACCAAATACCAAATACCTTTCCCCTATTTATGATAATCAAAAGTGCCTTCTGACATTGCCAAGTGTCCCCTGGAGGTAAATCTCCCCTGCAGTATCCTGTCATACTAGTTAAACCAAAAGACAATTTATGTAAGGATACAGAAATACCTCACAGAAGCTGAAGGTAGGAGGTAGAACTGGGCCTTGGGGAGGCTAAGCCTCCTTCCTGGAGCCAAGCTGTTCTCTGGCTCTTCAAGGGCCTCCTGCCTGAGGTGTGTTGCCACGCTGTGAAAGTAGGGCATATTTTGTTCGGCCTGAATCAACCAGTTAGCACAACCTGCCCAACTGTTCTGTAGCCTGGACAAGCAGTGATTGGTCCTCTGTGATGCCCCGGAGATCTAGGGACCTTCTGAATCACTAGGGGAAGGTTTATGTCTCCAAAGAACTTGTGCCTTGAATTTGCATTTATTTTGATGAATGCTAATATCTAGTCACTTGTGCCTTGAGTTTGCATTTATTTTGATGAATGCTAATATCTAGTCACCTCTTTAGAGGATATTCACAACAGCAGCATATGCCAAGTATGAGTAGACTGATATAGTTCAGAAAGCACAATCCATACGCACATTATCCCATTATCATGTAAGGAGGCAATACTTCCCTTTACAGAAGAAATCAAGATCTATAGATTCTAAGTTCCCTGACAGCGTCTCATAGTGAAAGACAGAGAACTGTGATCAAAGCAGAAATGGTGCTGCAAAGAAGAAGCAGATGAGAGTGTGGCCAGAAAAGTATGAAACTGAACAATGTTTAGGGAGTGGACGAAAGAGTTTGACTCAGCCAACGGCCTGAGCAAGCGGGATCAAGGAGTTATAGAAGAAAGGTGATCAGACGAAGAGAGTTTCAAACAATCCAGAAGGAGTGCAATCACACCACAAGATGAAGACCAATATCCCAGAGCATTTTGGTAGTTAGGTAAAAATGTAAAGACCTGTCTACAGTTTACACTTGCTATTCCTACTGATGCGTCAGAACTCACCTGATGTCCCATCAGAATGGGCATCGCTTGACCAATATCAAGGCTCAGAGAAACAACTTCCTGTTTCTTCTTGCAGATATTCTCCTACTACCTTGCTCTTAGCTATTTCTGAGCTGGATGACAACCAACTGGGCAAATTTAGTTTTTATAAGAAGGAAGCCGTTCTTAAGGTAAATCATTTTAATTACTTTTTTTTAAAAAAGAAACTAAAATGACAAGCAATATGCTTATGTGTTCCTTTTAAAAATCCTGTATTTCATACTAGCATGGCTCCCATATATAAGAAAAGCCCCCAGCATCATTATGATGATGGCCATTGCTTGTGCAGTACCACCTGTAGCAGCTATTAAAAAGCAGCACAGGTACTGAACCATTATTGCATCAACATTTTAAAGTATATACTAGTTATTGTTATTTTTATATGATCTTTTAAAACCTAGTGCTATTTTTCCCTGCCATTCAGAAGAATTTCTTGCTTCTGTGCATTTTGCATGTGTACATTTTTTTCTGTATATGTTTTTAAATATTCATCTGCCATTGAGCACAAGTTCTTAGTTTATCAACGCCTACTCAGCCTTTTCTGACCCCTGGAGAAACTGATGAAAGCCTGATGGAAATCTGCATGGCAAATCAGCCTGGAGGCTGCCTGCATAGGGTGGAAGGTGCTTAGGTGGGGACAGAGTCTATGGCTGAGGATCAAGGCTGCAGCAGATCCTGCAGTGAGACCCACGTATTGGCGTGTTGGACAGTGGGAATCTGAGCCCTCAACTTCACCTCTTCCTCTGTGAGAGAAATTCTTAATGCCATGCATATTTTCTTCTTTTAGCTCTTATTCCATTCAGGAGTAGAAAATATGCAAGTGGCCCTCGCCTGCCAAGCAGTTCAGAAAAATGCCTTGATGGTGGCTGTGCAACAGGCAACCTTCTACCACACTCCCCAAGGAGGCCCCGTTGTTGTCAAGGTCAGTCTCTGGCAGCGAAGGTCTGCCACAAAGAAGCCTCTTGCTTTCCTACCACCAGTGTTCCCTCTCCAATTCTCCTTCCTTCCTCCCACACCCTCTCTCCCTCCTTCTCTCTTCCTTTCTCCCCCTTCTGTTTTCCCCTTTTTTTCTTCTTTCCTATCTTTTTCTCTCCCTTCCCTCAAGTTTTCCCTTCCTTCTTTCCTAATGTGTTTCAACATATGACCCAATCCTTACTGGCATCTTAATCTTCAGTGGTTTGCAAATAATCTTTCTTTTGTATATAACCATTATTACTGACTATCTAATACCATCAGCAAAAAATGTCCTGCTGCCTACCTCTACCTTGGTAGATCATTGGTTTTCTTGCTTTCTGTTTTGTCTTTGTGGGTTTTGTTTTTTGTTTGTTTGTTTGCAAAGGGAAGCAGATACATTGTGCCTTCTTTATCCACAAGTAATGCATTATATTATTTTTATTTGTTTTGAGATGTAATTTACATACCATAAAGTATACCACTTGCAAAATCATGCATCACCACTATCCATTTCCATGACGTTTTTATCTTTCCCCAAAGAAATTCTGTTTCATTAGCAGTCATTTCCACCCCTTTCTCTCAGCCCCTAGCAACCACTAATCCATTTTCTATCACTACAGATTTGCTTTTTCTGACATTTCATGTAAAATCATACGTGTTGTGACTAAATTTTTTCATTTATTTTCAAGTTTCATTCATGTTGTACTACATGTCAAGTCTTCATTTCTTTGTGTTGATGAGTAATATCCCCTGACAAAGACAGAACACATTTTGTTTACCTATTCATCAGGGTTGTTTTTATTTGGGGACTATTATGAATAACGCTGTTAGGAAATTTGTTACAGCTTTTGTAAGGACATATGTTTTGATTACAAGTGAATGTAACAAGTATAAAACGAAGTATGATTTTAGGAAATTAACTTTCCAGATGCTCTTCAACATCTTTAAGCTTCATGGTGTTTATGCAGTTTATTACATTCTCCCCTTTTTCACATTTATCTACTGTTATCAATTTCTACTCTTTCCATTAACAGAAGAGTACAAATTCATGAATATGGCAAGAATAGTCAGTTCTCATTTCTACTGCCAAATACTAAATTCCCACAGAAATCGAATACTGAAGTAGAAAATGTAGAGTGAGTTAAGTTGATTATTTAAAAACTTCAATCACAAAAATCTTAAAGCAATACCTACTAAATGCTAGGTTCGTGAGGTGCAATTCATGATCCTGAAGCAAGTATAGGCCCATGTGAACAGGGGGGACAGACCCACAAGTGGCAAGGTATAAAGGAGGTGCCACAAATTGCAGGAAGTAAAGAAAGAGAGGTCACACCTGGGGCATCAGAGAGACTAACACAAAGAGGGGCATTTAGGGAACGCTGAAAGATGTGCTTTTTGCCAGAGATGACCATATGATCATGGTGAGTATAGAGAGGCTCATCAGACACTCAGGCATGGACGAGAAAGGACAGATGGAAACTAGGAGACCATCAGAAGCCCAGTTTGACCATCTCTGTGGTTTTCATACCAGTGAACCTATAGAGTCTTACTCGGTTGATGTTATAAAGAATACCAATGTGTAGCATACCACAGATACAAGCGTGGCTGCTCCAGTTAAGTGGAGGTTGAGAGGCTTATGAATCTCTCCCTGAGAATTACCCCCCAGGAAATGTTGAAAGTCACTGGTAGGAGCACAGGGTGGGCGTGGGAAGTCATTACAGAAAGGGAAATTAAAACCCCAGTGAGAAATCACTGAACTCCGATGAAAGTAACTGAAATTTTAAAGGCTGACCGTCCCAAGTGTGGGCAAGGATATAAAAGATTCAGACCCCTCGACACTGCTGATGAGGGCACATGTGGTACAATGACCATGGGGGACAATTTGGCATTTTTTTAAACAGTTAAACTTACCATGTGATCCAGTCACTCCATACATATGAATTTACCCAAGAGAACTGAAAGCACATATCCACACAAAAACTTGTACGCAAATGGTGGTAGCCAAGAACTGGAAAAAAACTCAATGTCGATCACCAAGTGAATGGGATAAACAAATTCATACAGTGAAATACTACGCAGCAGTACAAAGAAATGTACTATTGAAATCTCACAACAATGTGGTGGAAGCCAGCCAAAAAGAAAGAGTACTTGGCACATGACTTGATTTATATAAAATTCTAGGAAATGCTTTCTAATCTATAGTTTCAGAAAGCAGAGCAAGTTGTTTGAGGAAATGCATATGGCAGGGAAGATGACTGGGTCATTACTACAGTGATAGTGTCAACATTTGTTTACATATGTCACCATGTATCTCACTGACGCTTTAAATATTTGTCTTTTATTGACAATCATTTATACTGCAATAAAGCTATTAACTTTTTTTAAAAGAGGAAGACTAAGACATTGGAATTTGATAATGTAAAGGAAGAACTGAATGTCAATTGAAGTCATTGGACATTCTCAAAAATTCTCTGCTCTCTCGGACAGCAGTTCTACTGAGACTGGATTGAAAGACAGACAGTCAAGAGTCAAGGAGGAAAACCATGCTAGACTACAAATGTGGTGTCTACTTACTGCTCCTGTGTTAGCCTGCTCCAGCAGTCCTAACAAAATGCCACAGATGGGATAGCTTAAGAAACAGAATTTATTTTCTCAGCCCTCCCTAGTGGCACAACAGGTTGAAGAGCAGCACTGCAAGCTGGCTGCAGCCACTTCAGGGAGTTGTATCCCCGACCCCGGAGGTGACCCACATGGCGCGGCAGACCTCTCCCGTCTCTCCCACTGCTCCCTTCAGCAGTGTACTTCATCAATCTGCCTGTTCTGCTCCCCACTTTGACTCTGGTGAATCCTCTCTCTGTCCCTGCACCTCTGGCCTGTACCCCAGTTCTGTATGCATGAATAAATAAATCTTTTAAAAAAATTACTTTTTCATAGTTTTCTAGGTGAGAAGTCTAAGACCAAAGTGCCAGCATGGCAGTTTCTGGGGGTGCTCTTCCTTGCTTGGGGTGGCCTGTTCTTGCATGGCAGAGAGAAAGCTCTAGTGTCTCTTCCTCTTCTTGTAAGGGGACCAGCCCTATCAGATTAGGTACTAGCCATATGGCTTATTAACCAATTATCTTCCCAAGGCCCCATCTTCAAATGCCTTCAGATCAGTGGTTAGAACCTCAGTTTTTTAATTCAGAACACAAACACTGAGTCCATAATAGCGCATTAAGAAGTTTGGTTAGAATGAAGGAGGAAGCTTGAGGCTATAAGAGAATAAAGGAATAATAATATATTATGAAAACATTTGTAGGAAGGGACTGCACAAGAAGAAGGAATTGGGGATAGAAATGAAGGCTGGATGGCTGGTATTTTGAATAGATGATGGAGCCAGTGAATTAAGAATTTAATTAGCAGTTTCTGTGACCCAGGTGGGCAAGGAGCTAAATGATACAAGGGCTCATGGAATCCTCTCAGTAGCCCCAAAAGATGGCAGATAGCACCATCTTTTCTTAGGCGAGGAAACAATTTCTGAAAGACTAAGGAACAGAGCCGAAGCCACCAGCTAAGAGTCAGCTCTGGCATCTTGCTGCAGAGCTGTTCCTGATGCTTGGCCCTTCCTAAACCTCCCCCCACGCGACCGCCAGCCCCCCCATCCCTCCACCCCCCAACACTGTGTGCTAGTTTTCAGAAGTCTGGAATAGTCGCAAGAGCTCCAGAAAAGATCAGGATGGAATCTTTAGACTTTTCATCCTGGACTTTATTTTTTTGGTCTCTATGTAGGTATCCTTCAGTAATATAGCTATGGAAAACTCCTTATTTCTTTCTTTGGGCAAAAAATGGTCTTTTTTTTTTATAACTTGTATTTCAGAAAGAATGTAAAATATTCCACCCATCATGCCCTGCAGCTCCATTACCAACAGCAATACTAGACATACCAATTTCTGCCTTCTTTCCTCCTTCTCCTTGCCCACCTCCCAGCTTTCACACCCTCATCATCATGCTGTGCAGAGCAGCATATAAAGCCTAGCTCCGGCCGAGGGTCTGTACCACAGTGGGCACCTGAGACAGGCTTTTTAGTTTTAGATCTTGCAGCCATGAGCTCCATGAGCAGTGTTTCCAGAGAGGCCTCTCTAGCCACTTTGCAGGGCATGGAACCCTTCAGACAACTGCACTATGGTATGGAAATAGTTACACTCTGTGCCTCACCCCTCATTGTCAAAATGGCATCTATTTTCTTTTCCCTCTCTGGCTCTCCTCCTTTAGCTCCTTCCCTCCACTTCCCTTCTCTCTCTTTCATTCCCATCTCTTCCCTTCTACTCCCCCACCCCCACCAAATGGACGCAGGCCTTTACATGTGTTTGGGGTCACTGTGGTTGTGAGCTAAATTTACATCCAGTACCACAAGACTTATAAATCCAACACATTTGATTCACTTTGGTTTGAAATATTTTAGGAAGTAAGTTCAGAATGGAGAAATCATGGTGGAATGGGGTCAACCCAAAGAAGAAATTCCAGAACTGTGGGTGGTACAGAGAGATTGCTGCTAGCCCCAGCTCCAAAAGCACCAGACGCTTTTACTCATTCTTCAGAGAGACTTCAGGCCACCAAAAGGTACTGCACCAGGGGACCTTTAAAATGACAAAATGTACTCTTTTAAATGAGTTTACAACACGGCATAGCTTGAAGGATGTTTAAGCTCCTTAGGCAAAATGTGCTCAGTTTTTAAGAGCTTACTTGACGACCCTGTGGGAACACTGAGAAGGTCCAGGTCCTGCGAATGCATGCCAGCCCACGAAGGAAACTGTTGAAACTGTTGTTGATACAGGGCAGGGAGAGGGACACCCCCAAACCCTCTAACCTGCCTGCTCTAAATGGGTTCTGCCATTCTCCGCATCAAGACAAAACAGAAGGCCTTTAATGGAAAGGAACTTTAATACAATCAGTGTGCAATACAGAAAAGATAACGAATATACTTTCTAAATCAAGCACCCAAAGTCATTCATCCCCATAGGTAAAAGTCCACCCAAAAGGGACTGGCCCAAAGCAAGGCCTGAAAGCCCACCACAAGTCTAGAGCACTTTCTGGCAGGGATTCATGAAAAAGGGTCAGAAATGGCCAGACAAGTCTGGGAAGAAGAGAGCAAAATTAGAATCAAAATAAATGCTGCTATAGTGAACCTCCCCCACGGGTCTCTCACACACATCTGTTTCAACCTGTCCAGGACCAAGAAACAAGAGCTGCTTCTTCTCTAGTCTCTCGGCTCCATGTGCCTCCCTCAGGTCTCCTTCCGGCTCTCCATCCTACTTCCTTCCTCCTCAATCTCCTCACCAGATTCTCCTCTGCTCAGCTCCACCCTCCTTCTGGGTGGGGCAGGGAAGCTGGATCCTCCCCTTTTCCTGGGGACCACCTTATTACATTCTTAATTTCAACCTCTTTTCTTCCTCCTTCTTTCCTTTCTTCCTTTTCTCCTTTTATTTATCTTTCAAACACAAGGAACACAAGGAAGAGGAGTATGAAAATTTGGACCTTCAAATTTTCCATGTCATTCTTAAACTGAAAGTACAGAACCACCCTCACGATTCTCATAGGAGTGTTATCATCCTGAAAATAACAGGACCTTTCCATTAAAGGTCTTCTATGTTTTGTCTTGATGTGGTGGATGCCAGAACCCATTTAGAGCAGGCAGGTTTGAGGGTTCGTGTGCCCTATCACAACAGTTGACTTTCCTTCATGGACTGGCATACACTGGAAGGACCTGGACATTCTCAGGTCTTGTGTTGTCAGAGGCGGGGCCTCTGCCGGGACCACGGGCTGCGGATGCCCTGTTATGTCTCATCTCTTTTCACCATGACCAAGAAAAGTATTTATAGTCTGTAATAATTATGGCCATTCAGAGCACTTAATCAAAGCATACCAATGATAATCTAATTTAATTCTGACAAATGTAGAATGAAGAAAGTAAGAGGCAAAACTACTTCACTACTCAACATGTCATTAATCAGACATGAGGCCAGCATTCAAGTGCCCTAGGTCCATATTCCTGGCATACGGATGGATGTTTGAGACCAGGTGTCCAGTGGAGAGGACCCTTACGAGGCACCTTAGTCTGGGTCCCTCTGTGGCTAGGTCAGGCAGAGGGGCCTGGGTGGTGACTGGGCCAGGCTATGAAACTTGGGCAGCAGTGGAGCTGCTGATGCAGGCGGCAGCCACATGGAGGTCCCCAAAGAGGACAGTGGCACATGAGCACCCCAGGGCCTAATCAGAAACACTTGATGCCTGTGGGAACCATGGGAGCCATCTGCTCCCCTACTGCAAAGCCCAGCCTTGGCCTCAGGTGTTTCTGTCCTCCTGAGACCTCTGCGCTGGCTCCTTGTTATATGCCTTCTCATCTCCTGCCTTGGCTCATGTGTCTGTTCACTCATCAGGGCTCCAGAGGCCTTTGTGTCTTTACAACTGGAAAAGGTGGGACTGCGGGACATGATGCTGAATGCCTTCCTCCTCAAGAAACAATCCATGGCTGACAGAATGAATAGCCTGGTGAGTGTGGTAAGCCAGGGCTCCCCGAGGCGCTGTGGTCTTTTACACTGGAGAGAATAAAAAATCTTAACTTGGACTCAGTTGCTTTCAGCCAATTTGATAGAACTACTGGAAATATAAAGAACTGAAAAAAAAAAGAACTCCATAAGGAACTAGAAAAGAAGCAATTCAAGGCAATTGCAGTCTAGTATTAAAACTAAATGCTTTTCTCCAAGACTACATTTTGTTTGGTCACTTTCTAAACAGAACTACTTGCTGCAATTTCTCTGAGACCCCTGCCCCCCCAACCCTCCCCATCCTATGCTCCCCCCAAATCAGTGACCCACAGGCTTGGATGAGGTGAACAAGGACCATTCCCTTCTAATTCAACTGTCCCCTTGGTTTTTCAGATATGACCCTCATGTTTCTATATAAGAGATTTACTGTAGTTACTCTACTGAAAATATAATAAAATTCCATCCTTTAATCAGTTAAAAGTATTGCTTAATTTTATAAATATTATCTCATTACTTATGATATTTTTGTTGAAATCATTAGGCTAGTGGGAGAGGAATGACAAGGTGTACAACCTCTAGGCTTTGTCCTTACCTGTGATTGTAAAGGGGACTTAAATTTAACTAACCTACTTCTACAAATGGAATACGAGGGAAGCCAGACCTTCTAGATTACTGCTGGGAAATGACAGGAGTAAAAGACCCCATTTGATAAGTAATTCTCAAAAAATACTCAAGGAGTCAAAAGCACAATAGCTCATTAACCGCCTTCAGGAGTTCCCATACCTTCCAGTTTCAGAAGGACTCACACAGTAAGCTGATGTGGGCAGGGATTTAGCCCACATGCAAACTGCTAGTTAGGCTATCATTGTTCTGTGGCTGCTGGCAGAATATGCAAGACTCCTAGTTCAGAGATAAAGACCTTCTTACTCACAGCAGAGGAAGCAGCCAGAGGTTCATGTTTGTATCAGTTCTCTTTGCCTGTCATGTCCCAAAGGGACAACACCGAAGAGCTTAGATGAATACAGAGGGATTATGTCACCACTGAGTAACATGGGCCTTGGGGAGCCTACCTCTTTTTTCTCAAGCATTCTTTTTCTGGAGGAAAACACTTCTTCCCTCAAGACTTCTCTATGCAAACAAACCCCTGAGAAATGGCCCAGGGAAACAATGTCTTAGATTCTTGGCATACTCAGCAAGATCTGTAGGAACGGAAGAGACCCATGGAGGAGTATCTCCCTACCAGTTGAACTTAAGAAGGAATATCAACCAGATGGCCTTTTCCTGCTTGAAGTTTGTGCTACATGTTTAACCCATGAGCTAGGATGAGAATCTCCCATCACCAACTAGCTAAGATAACTGTCATTCTCTTTTATCATAGGATGAAATTGGAAAAGTCAAGCGAGAGGTTATCATTGAATATTGTCAGAAGTAAGTAGAGTATACATGAAAATACATAATGATTTCTCTGATCCCAAATTCAGTAACCAGCAGTATTGTGTGGAAATCCAGACAGTGGATTGGGGATTCTATTTAAATAAGCCACAGTTCTGTTGGTTCTCTTAAGCCATGCTTAAGAGGGTTTTTTGAAGAGGTCCAATCCTCTACTTTTCAGACAATAGTAACCTGACCCAGATGAAAATTTTTTCTTGACAGAGGACCTTTCTTCTCTTTGAACAGGCTTTCAGAGAAGTAGGTGCTAGAACGTTTGTGAGAGATAAAACAACAGGGATTCATCTTCTGGACATATCTTCTGACTTTTCAGGTTTAACCACCACATGTCTCACTACGCTCTCCGGGGTCAGATCATGGCGTATTGCAATAGTCTGAGAGCCCTGCTGGAAGATTTCCCTTCCATCAGGGACACCTATTTCATGATGGGGCAGCGACAAGGAAAGCAGGGGTTGAGGGATTCCAAGGAGGACCCCAAGCTTGACCCCAGGTAAGCAATTCCCTTCAAAGCTTATTATTCATCTTTTCCCGCCCTAGGGGAAAGACCTGTGAAGTTTGGTATGTAAATCTAGTTCCCTTTACTGCATTTGACCTTGATCTTGAAGGGCAACAGAAAAAGTTAGCTCTCCAAGAACAAGAGTATCTTTGTATTTGAACCCAGAAGGAATCTTTGTTTATGGGCTGTTTGACTGCTTTTTCAATCTATGAAGTTTTGTTTTCCCCTGGAGAGCCCAGAGATTTTCATCACTCATACCCTTTTACATAAGCCAGCATCTAAAATAAGCAAACAAATAAGTAAATTTGATCTTTAGCTGCCCTGGCTTCAAATATTCTACTCAATGAGACAGAAAAAAATATTTAGGGAAAAAAAAAATGATATGCCGGTAGCTTAGATAAATCAGTGATCCTCTGTATTTCTGGAAGAGAAAAATAGAGAACAATATTAAGTGGTAAGAATGGAGCTGCTCTCATACTTCCTTATTGGATTTTACCCAGTTTTCCAAATGTCCTTATCTCAGCTTGCCTAGAACTCAGTCACCTGGAAGGAGGAGTTGGCCTACCTGTGCCCTCAGTGACCACATTTCCTTAAGAAAACAAAACAACAGTGCCTTTCTGGTGGTGCAGGGAGTTAAGCTTCAGCACTATGAAACTTCTGCAGCCGCTGAAGCATGAGTTTGGTCCCCAGCCAGAGAGCTGACCCACATGGTGCAGCAGACCATTCCTGTCTTACCCACTGCTCCCTTCAGCAGTTATTTCAGTGGATCTGCCTGTTCTTCTCCCCACCCTGTCTCTGGTGAATCCTCTTACCCTCTCTCCCCTCCCCACACCTCTAGCTTGTACCACAGGTCTTGTATGCATAAATAAATAAACCTCTTAAAAACAACAAGGGGTGTTATATAGTTAGCAGTCTCCAAGGAGGAGCAAAGATCTCCCAGAGGATGACCTTATTTCTGTCTTTTCCCTGCCCATGCAGCACAGAGTTGAGGGCTGAGTAACAGCAGTTCTTAATAAATATGACCATAGATAGAAGGGAATGGAAACACCATTGTGTGGACCACTTTTTACTCTCTCACTCATCCATGATGCATTGTTCGGCCATTATTTATTCAGTGCTTACTGAGTGCCAGGTCCTTTGCTCCATACAGGGAGTTACAAAGGTGAGTAAGTCATTGCCTCTGGCAAAAAGTTCGTTCAAATGGGGGAAGCGCTATCACCAAACAGGTAACTTCAAAAATGTCAAAGATAACATGTTAGAAGCATGTGAAAATTTCTCTGAGGACACAAAAGGAGTGTTCAGCTCTAATGCAGGACCTCAGGGAGAATTTCAAAGATGGAGTGACAGGTCAGTTGGAGTTTCTAGAGAAAATGGGGGTGATAGAACAAACTAAACAGATAGAAACAGGTAGAACGCTAGAAAGTGAAAAAAGTCAAGTTCTTAAGCCCTTGACTGTCTGATAGCTGGCTGTCAAAACAGGCCATTCCTAGCTCGGCCCAATCAAGTACACAGTTTATGGAGAACACTGCTTGTCTGAGGAGCTCAGCTAGTGTGGTTGCTATGGTGGACCTCAGGATTTACCTTAGGGAGAATGCCTTGTACTGACTACTTTGCTGAAGGCTTTGTCTGAATACCTGTTACCCAGGGGTACTAAAATGCATCTTTCTCCCATATGAAACATTGCAGCAAAATCTTCTAAGATTTCTCAGTTCCATTATTTCATTCACCAGTGAGCCAAGTCAACCATTTATAAGCCCAATCTACATTTAGGGTCAGTGTTTAAAAATAGTTTCCAGAAGTCTAACCACTACTTCACTACATTTGTATTTAGGATAAAAATGTAATCGGGAAGTCTTTTTTTGTTTCTGATAAGAAGGTCAAGAAGTAGAAAGGGAAGAAAAAAGTCACAAGTCTTCTCTATTCCTTTATTATTGCTCATGGATAACTGCATGTTTCCTGAAGCTGCCAGGAAACAGTTATTGAAGGTGGAAAAGCCTGGAGCCTTTGTCATTTGGTCAGTTAATGTGTGATAATTTCAGGGTAAGGCTCTAGGCCAGGAAAGTTTGAGCAAAGTGAGTGCCCGCCCAGAGCTCAAGCCACCGTCAGGCCTGCATCAACTGCCACCAATCCAGATTCAGTGCTCGTCTCTACACCCATCTCCCTCTTCCTCAGCTCCCTAGAATTTAAAAATCCCCTTTTTAAAACAGTCACATAAAATGAAGCCTAGATAAAGCATTTCTGGCTTCTGTGGAAATTTGGAAAGGTTACTGCATAAGAGTCTTTCTAATTCCATGAATCATAATAAGAATTGAACCACTACCAGGAGAAAGTCATGTCTTGGGAGTTAGAATATTTGGGTGTTGACTTGCTCAGTCATAAGTTGTTCTGAGATCTTGGGCAAATCACTACTCTTCACCCTCTGGGTCTCAATTCTTTATGTATGAGTGAGGAAATGATGCAGCTCTCTGAAACTAAACATGCTACGGTTCTTAGTGCTAAGGTGGCTAGAGCTTGATTCCAAGGAATAGGAGTGCTGATGAGAGACTTTCTGGAAAGGAAATATTTAAGAATTTGCTCATCAAATGATAGGTAGGAATCATCTCATGTCAAGACTAAGTAAAGATGAAGGGACAGAGTTGAGGAATGAAGGTCATGGAGGACAAAGTTTCCCATCTCATTTATCAAAGAAGTTAGGTTAGGTCAAGGGGAAGAAATAAGCTTTTTTTTTTTTAAAAAAAGATTTATTTATTTGTGCATACAGAACTGGGGCACAGGCCAGAGGTGCAGGAGCTTCACCAGAGACAGAGTGGGGAGCAGAATAGGCAGATCATCGAGGTAGACTGCTGAGGGGAGCAGCGGGCTGGTCAGGAGAGGTCTGCCGTGCCATGTGGATCACCTCTGGGGCTGGGGGGATCGAGCTCATGCTGAAGTGGCTTTAGCTTCTCAGTGCTGTGCTTTAACCTGCTGCACCACCACACCAGGGAGGGCCCCAGAAATAAGCTTCTTTCAAATGTTAATTCCAACAACATGCTAGTGACCAGCTGAGGATTCTGAGTCATCCTGAGCCTGTGAGTGTTGCAACTGAATGACAGTGTCTGCCATGGTCAAGGAAGGGGAGACAGGTGGTCTCCAGGCTGTATGCTGGCATTCCTGGCCTAGGAGCAGCATGCATTCTATAGTTTTAAAATTTGAAGATGAAACTTAATCCTTAGAAGACTGTACTGAGGGCCCTCCCTGGTGTTGCAACGGGTAAAGATGCAGCACTGTAAGCAAGCCGCAGCTGCTTCAGTGTGAGTTTGATCCCCGGCCCCGGAGGTGACCCACATGGCACGGCAGACTTCTCCTGACCCGCCCACTGCTCCCCTCAGCAGTGTACTTTGTCCATCTGCCTGTTCTGCTCCCCACTCTGTCTCTGGTGAATCCTCTCACCACCCCTGTATCTCTGGCTTATATCCCAGTTCTGTAGGCATAAATAAATAAGTAAATATTATAAAAAAGAAGACTGTACTGAACTTTGTTTAGGTTCAGCAGAGACCCTACCCTCACCCTACCAGTCTCTATAGCTGAGGAGCCACAGGGAACTCTTCTTCCAAAAAGGACACTCCTTGAATCCCCTTCATGGGCCCAGAGGACATGAGAGACTTAGGGTGATGCTGATCACGTTGCACAGTGGACCACATTCCCAGGAGCACTGGCAATGACTGATGGAGGAAACAAAGAACAGAGAACAAAGACACTGATAGTATTTGAGCCCTCGCAGTGTGACAGGCAGAGCCGGCACTAGTGCCTTTCATCTGCTTCATGAGGATCAGAAGACACCCCTCCCTCTGGGCGGGGACAACCACACAGGCTGAAGTTAGGCAAGTGAAGTGTAAGCCAGACTTGCCCACTGTTGGTTGCCTCAGGCACAACCTGAACAATAGTACATGGTGCCTTGGTGCCAAGCACTGTGCAGCAGGGGATTAGATATAGTCCCTGCCCCCCAGGCAAGAGGAAGTAGCCAGGTAGCCATGGTGTGCTGTGATAAAGGATAAAATAACACTACATGGTAAGTCCCCACCAAGAAGTATTCAGTATTGTCTGAAGAATTGGAAAGGTGGGTATGGGGAGAAAGGCAGGCTTCAAAGAAGAGGGGATACCTAACCTGAGTCTTGAACTTTTTCAAGTGGGCCAGGAAAGCAAGTTCAGCTCAAGCTGGGAGACAGCGTGTGCAAAGGCCCAGTGTGGCAGCACATTCACACCGAGCAGCTCCTGTCCAGGGGCTGGGGAGAGAGCGCACAGTGATGGCGAGATCCGTGAGGCCGGTGCTTGTCCTCCAGCAAACAGGATGAAAGAGAACAAAGGGGCTGTCAGTGGCCATTTAGAAAGATACTGAAACTATGGTGACAGTCTGTTTCTCAAGCCAAATGGCAGGAGTCTGGGCTTATGCGAATCCTTAAACCAGACATAGATGGAGGATGTATTTGCATATAAACCCACAGCAAAGGGATAGGCACACCGATGAGCTATTTGGGGGAGAGCAGTGTAGAGAGAAGAGAAAGAAGAAAAGCAAAGGCCAGAATTTGAAGAACACTACAAAATACATGGGGGTTGGGAGAGGAAAATAGAGGCTGGATCTAGAACTGGACATACCTGTATTTAAATAATCTCAACTTCATCTCTTAAGAGTGGAGTGAGACCTACCTAGCCTCAACAGGGCCTCAATTTCCCCATCTGTGAAATGGAAACAAACGGGCACATTTTTCAGTTGTCATAAGAGTCCAGTGAAAAAATATGTAACAGGACATATGACCCTGTATGATGCCAGCCACTAAATTCATCCCCTTGCCTTTCCGTCCTTACCACACCTTTCCCTCCCTCCATGCCCCCGCCTTCCTCTGACACAGTTACGGCTAAAATCAGCCCAACTGCACTTCTTCTGTGGAGTTTATTTATAACTGTGGCCACCTGTGAGTGGCCTGAAAAAGAGGCCCATGGCCCTGAGCCTTGGACACCGGACTTGTGGGTCACCACCATCTGGGCTCAGGCGCTGTGGCCAGAGCATGCTGGTATATAAATAGTTCACATTCCCCACCTCTTGTTTAGAGAGCAATGTTGTGCCTTCCAGAATTTTCTTCTAATTTCACAGTTTTCAGACCCGGCCACGAAGTTTGCTGTCTGCTGATGGGAAAGTTTTCCTCAATATATGGTTCATACCCCATCCTTCTGAAGTGCTGGTTATGTTCAAAACTCTACCAGAAAAGGTTTGTTTGTTTGTTTGTTTGTTTGTTTTTTCATCTTTCCAGAATAGAAACTGGCCATTTTTATGTCTCACAATTAAACATCCCAGTTTCAGAGAACAACTCTTGTTTTTTTTCCAGGGACATCTAACAAATGAATCTCAGTTTCTAATATTTTACCTGCTTTATTATGATTTCTCTTGGGCCTCATTATTTCTTGAGTTCTGTTTCTCCATGGTCATTAAGGAACTCTAATTCGATCTTCCCAAATTCCTTTTTAATCCTCAATTTCCTCCCAGACCCTTCAAGAAAACCCTGCAGCTAAGTGGAGGTTGAGATATACTTAATCACAGCTGTCAGCAGGTTACTCTTTTTTGAGGAGTTGCTCTAAGCACCCAGCATACGCTAGAGAATAATATTGATAATCATTAAAAAAGAGTGGGTATAGGAATACCTAAATCACTCAAGTAAGTATTTGCACTTTAAACACATAAGTATTTACCAGATAAAGTGCTATGTTGAAAATGGCAATTTGGAAATATTCTGATTTTTCTTTGAAAGTGAAAACTTGTTTAAGAATCTAAATTGCTCATCTTTTCCCCCTTCACCTTTACTGAATTATAATTAATAAATAGAATTATGTATCCAAAGTATAGAACATGTGATTTGATATTTGTGTACATTGTGATGATTACAATTCATTGCATTGGTACAGTCATCACCTCTGCTGTGGTAAGAATATTTATCTACTCTCATCTCAGCAAATTGCACATATATAATGTGGTATCCTTAACTGTAGACATCATGTCCACTAGATCCCCAGAATTTATTCTTCTATAACTAAATGACCAGAAAGTTTCCATTTCCCCTCCCCCTGGCAGTTACCTTCCTATAAGTCTGATTATCTATCTATCTATCCAACATCTATCATCTATTATCTACTTTTAGATAATAGATACCAAGACCATATAGTATGTGTCTTCCTCTACTTCTGCAACATGTTTCATGCCCCAGCATTCCTCCATGTTGTCTCAAATGGCAGGGTTTTCTTCTCTGGTGGTTGAATAATGGCCCATTGTGTGTGTGTATGTTTTCTTTATCCATCAGCCCACCAGATACTTGATTTGTTTATGTGTCTTAACTATTCTGCATAAAGCTGCAGTGAACTAGGAAGTACAGATAATCTTTTTGAGATACTAATTTCATTTCCTTTGGCAATATACACAGGAGTACGATTGCTGGATCATGGTAGTTGTATACACAGAAAAATGACGCCAGACTTCTATCTTACCCTTGAAGGATAGGGCTCCCTGAGGTGTCCAGATCAGATTTTCCCAGATATGTCACCTTGGCCTGTGGAGCTAAAGTCAATAGGGGACCTTCAAGAGGACCTATTATCATTACCAAGCAGAATGAAAATTACCCAGATTTGGGATCATCTCTAGAAAGAACTTTTTAATCAAAGAACCTTACCTATGACATCTGGTTTTGTCATAAGAAGTCATGCCTTCCCATTCTATGAGACCCTCTTTTCTCTCCCTGATATACTATGCATCTACTCTAGTCCTTAGCTGGGTACAGACCCATTTACTCTAGAATTTATACCATGAAGTTAATTAAGGTTGGTCCTTTTTTCTCCTAGTTCTGCCTGATGTGAATTTATTTGTTCTATCAGCCTGAATCTCAAAGAAGTTGTGGAATTTTCTCTTCTGCTCCCACAAAAATTAACTCAAAATGGATTTAAGATTAAGAAGTAAGACCTGAAACAGTGAAACTATTAGAAGAAAATAGGCGTAGAAAACTCCTTGATATTTGCCTTGATAATGATTTTTTTATATATAACAAAATACATGCTGCAAAATCACAAATAAATCAATGGAACTACACTAACTTGAAAAGCTTTTTCATGCAAAGGAAACATGTAACAAAATGAAAAAACCACCTATAGAATAGTAGCAAATACTTATAAACCATATATCTGATAAGATGGTAATACCTAAAACATATAAAGAACTCATACAACTCAATGGCCAAAATAAATAAATAAATAACAAATAACAACAACAACAACAAATCCTGATTTTAAAAATGGGCAAAGGACCTGAACAGACATTTTTCCAAAGAAGACTTACAGATGGCCAACAGGCACTAAAAAAGGTGCTCAATCAAGGAAATGCAAATCACATGGATATGCAAGTAGCCTCGCACACCTGTCAGGTCAACTGTTATCAAAATGATAAAAGATAACAAGTATTGGTGAGTCTATGCAGAAGAGGGAGCTAGTGTGCCCTAAGGGTAGGGGTGTAAATTGGTACAGTCACTATGGAAAACAGTACCAAGTTTCCTGAGAAAAATGAAAAATAGGACTACTTTTTCATTGAATACTTTTGATGTGTTTTTCCTATCAATATGTATATATAGTACATCTATACATATATAGTATATGCATAGAATATATATAATATCTTCTGCAGTTAGATACAATTTTTCACCTTTCCTTCACTTGAAGGTTGATATTTAAAACCCAGTGTTTGATTTTTAGAAGAGTGTTTAAAGTATGTTGATAAATAGCTATGATTTGCTTATAGGTATTCCCTCACAGCAATGTTGTCTGAATACAGGTACCTGCAAGGAATTTATTTAACCCTGTAATTCATAGGTAGTTATAACGACACATTTTGGTGTTTGATGTGTTTATGGCCACCAAGTGTCTTTAAACTAAAGGGAAACAGTCTCTCTCTCTCTCTGTCTCTCTCACATGCATGCACAGATACACCCCTTTACCTTGTCTAAAGATACCCAACATTGTTTGCTGTTCTTTTTTCTCTGATATTATTTTATAATTATTATTTATATCATAAGGTGAAAAAGTTTTCTAAGTATTTCTTGTTTGAAGATATTGTCTGTAATGAATGCTTACGTCTTTTTATGTCTCTTAAAACTTATGTCCTTGTATTGATTTCCCCACAGGCAGCATTTAGAGCCTTAAAGCTGACTCTGCAGCTGATATCCCCTCTCCATGACATTGTGGCATACTTTTGCAGTTTTGCTAAACTTGGAAATTACCCAGCACATTGTGCATTTCCTCTAAGTCCTGACCCATTGAGAGGTGATTGGGGAGGAACCGAGGGCATTGGTAAGTGATCAAGGCTTTGGTAAGGGATCAGTTCCATGAAGCTGTTTTATTTTCCAGCTATACTGAGGTACAATTGACAAATAAAAATGTAAGATATTTAAAGTGTACACTGTGATGATTTGGTAACTGTATACATTGTGAAAGTATGCTCCTTAGCATAAAGTTCTTAATACTTGGAAAGACAGATGTAACACATTTTCTTGTAAGTGACTGATAAAGAGGGTAGAGGGAACATGGTGCTTCCAACTAATTGATTCCACATCTATAGATGAAACTATTACAGGGCACCCCATTGTGAACTGGGCTGCCTGCGTGTGGGGCCTCACCTGCGCACTTAAAATTTAGTTGTACTGCAGGCACACCAAAAGGGTCAATAATGGGTTTATTTACAAAAGGGGAAAGGCACAGGAACAACCCAGGGTAAGAGAGAGAGATATAAAGTAACTAGAATATCTTACCTGCTTGGCTGACTTGGAGCTCTGGTAACAAACTGACTGATAGCCCCCAGTCATACCTCCAGAGAGTGTGGCCGGGAGTGAGAGAGTTGTTTGATAATGGCTCCCTATTTATCCCCCAAAGTCCCAGAATGCCTGCTTAGCTCCACCCGGGGTCCTCGCAGTTCTCTCCCTGGTACTGCTGGGAGTTGTAGTTTCCAATCACTGGAGTAGGGAGTAGTGTCCAGAAACCTGGAGTAGGGGGTCGAGTCTACAAAACTGCAAAGTTCCTTTAGGACATCCTTCCCCTTAACAAAACCACAAAGTTTGCCATGCCAGGAACTGGGACTGAGTCTTCCTGCCTCTGCCCCTGAGAACTGACCACTTCACTCTCCTGGCCTCTGTCCATCTATAAAATGGGAATGATAATGCCTGTCATAGAGAGATGTCATGTAGGTTAAAATGTATAAACATTCTAGAGGGACATACAAGTCCCAGCTCCCCTGTTTTCCATTCCCTTTCCCTTCCTAATATTTGTCAGATTCAAGTATCCACTGCACTGTCAAGAAGCTGGCAGGCAGCCCTCAGGTAACTGACAGCAACCTGATGGTTCTGTAATAGCCAATTAGTAAACTCTGCATCAGCACTGGATTCTGAGATGAACACATGAGGTGGACATAATTTAAAGACACTGAAATGTTTAGTAAGTTGAGTTTAGCAGAAGTAGGGAAATTGATCTTGTTATTTTAATGATTTCACTTCCATCATTAGTCATGAAAATGTCAATTAAGAAATGAGTTAAGGCCCTCCCTGGTGGCGCGGTGGGTTGAAGCACAGCGCTGAGAAGCTAAAGCCACTTCTGCATGAGTTCGATTCCCGCCTGCCCGGGAGGTGACCACATGGCGTGGCAGACCT